GGGCCTAGTTGGTTAGGTCTTTGGGGAGCCAGTACAGACATGATGGGTCAAATAGCCTCCTCATGTACTGTAAAATTCTATGTCCTGTACACACTAAAGACAAACCCAACCTAGCCAATTACCACATCATTAATCCACTGTTAGTCATCGGTAGGGTGAGAAAAGGTGTCATCTGTAGTGCTATCAAGTAGCAGTTACTCAGCAATAGCCTGCTTGCAGATGTCCAGTTTGGATTCCACCACGGCCACTCGGCTATTTACTTCATTCCAGCCTTGGTCCAAACATGGACAAAAGATTTGAATTTCAGAGATGAGGTGAGAATGATTGCCCCTGATATTAAGGCTGCATTTGACAAGTATAGCATCAAGAAGTTCCATCAAAACTAAATCAATGAAAATCAGGGAAAGCTGTCAACTGGTTGGAGTCGTGCCTGGCACAAAGGTGGTTTTGGTGGTTGGAGGTCAATGATTTCAACTTAAGGACATCTCTGCAGGAGTTCCTCAGGTAGTGTCCTTGGTCTGACGGTCTTCTTCTGCTTCATCAATGATCTTCTCTCCAACATACGGTCAGAAGTGGGGATGTTTGCTAATGACTGCATAATTTTCAGCACCACTCATGACTCCTCAGATACTGATGCAGTCTTAAGTCTGCAGCAATATCCAGGCTTGGGCTGACAAGTGGTAAGTAACATTCACACCACACAAGTTGTTGCATTGACCATCTCCAACAAAAGAGAATCTAACCATTGCTTCATGACAATCAATGGTATCATCAACACTTAATTCTCCTGAATCAACATCCTGTGGTTCCGTTTACCAAAAACTGAACTGGACTCGTAAAGTAAGTAATAAACAAAAACAAAGACCTGCTGAGTTTCTCCAGTGCAGGCAGCATCTGAGGAGAGAAAAGCAATTAACATTTAGAGTCCAGTGACCCTTTTAGGAGAAGGGTGGGGGGGATCAGGAACTGGGAGGAGAGGGATCAACATCAGGACCCTGAAAAGAACTGGAGGAGTTGGGGAGGGTGGGCTTAGAGAAAGCAGGAGAGAAGAATGGTTGTAGGCGGAGGAGGAGAGCAGAGCATGGATGAAGCCCCTTCAATTTTTCACAGCCATCCAGTTTCCTTCTAGCCCCTTCTGTGATTATCCCTTGCCTCTCTGATTTTCCATCTTCCCTGCTACCTCCCAGGAGGCCTTTTCTATGGCTGAATTCTGTTTCAATGTTGCGCCTGTTTTGTGCACATGCATAGTGTGCAATTTGTACATGACAAAATAGCAAAGATTGTCTAGAACTGTGCATATGTGTTTCCAAATGAGCACTGTGATGATTTTGTGGCTTTAAGAGGTTATTTTATCCTTTTTTTCTGAAGGCTGTAAGGCAGAGATAGTGAGCAGTCTACCATAACCACTAGAGTAAACAGCTTGTGAGGTCTTGGGTTATTTTTAAAGTTGGAACAATACAAGTAGCCTGGATGGGTGTAGCCACCTCTCTCAGACCAGTATTTCTAGGTTTTTTTCTAGTTTTTAGATTTAAGTTTAAGCAGTTGCTGTTCTGGGCTTAAAGAAGTGAAAGCTATTCTTCCTTCTCTTGATTATAGCCAAAAGCTTGAGTTTCTCTTTCTAGGCTGCGAGACTGCATGCGAGACAAAATCTGTTTCTCTGAATTTGCCTTTTTACCAAAGGATGTGATTATGGGATGTTACTATATTGGAACAGTTAATTAGTAATAATTAGTGTATCTATTCCTTTATTCTCCTTTATTCTTCATTCATTCATGGGATGAGGGCGTCGCTGGCTAGGCAGCATTTATTGCCCATTCCTAATTGCCCAGAGGACAGTTCAGAGTCAACCACATTGCTGTGGGTCTGGAGTCACATGTAGGCCAGACTAGGTAACGATGGCAGTTTCCTTCCCTAAAGGACATTAGTGAACCAGTTGTTTTTTTTCCAACAATCGACAATGGATTCACAGGCATCATTAGATTGTTAATTCCAGATATTTATAGAACCTATATTTATAGAACATTATCTGGGTCTCTGGATGAACAGTCCAGCAATAATACCACTAGGCTATCACCTCCCTATTATTCTGTTAAGATTTCCAATAGAGTCAAGTTATTCTAAATTCCTCTTTCTTTGGTTGTATTTTAACTATAGTGTTTAAATACATTGTTTTTTTAATGTTAAGTAGTTTGACCAGTGGCATTGCATCTGGAACACAGCACTTTATATTTGCCTTAAAAATAAGAAAAAGTTAGAGTCTAGGCTACCTTCATAAAATATCTTGAGGGGGTCTGATCTGGTCCAAAATCAGGAAGTAGTTGCATTTGTTCCACAATTTCAGTGTTAGCAAACACTGCCTATTTGTAATGTCCACCTTGTCACGTGACAGCTATCTGTCTCCCTCAGGTTCTTCACTGTCGTGTATATATCTGAGCTAATAGAAGGTGTGCATGAGTTGTTGAATGGTATTTCCTTGAAGCATGGTCTCCTCCTGCTCTATTTCCTGTATTGCACTTGAGGGAGATGCAAGACATGATTAAGAACTTAAAAAGGTTAAAAGGGTAAAATGTCACAACTTAGGAGCAAATTACTGCAGACGCTGGAATCTGTACTGAAAACAAAAAATGCTGGAGATCACAGCAGAATAGGCAGCATCCATGGAAAAGAAGCAAATGTGTGTTTTGAGTCCAGATTACTCTTTATCAGAGCTGACATGAAGTATGGAGGAGGGAGTATTTCTGCAATAGTAAGTGGGTAGGGGTTGGGGGGGATGTGGAGTGCAGGGGGAGAAAGGATATTGATAGAGCACATTAAATGATCAGAATGTGAGAATGGCGGAACAATGGTGTGTGTAATTGCCAAACTCGAAAGAACAGACCGTACCACTAGGATGGGAGAGGGGAGAGAGGTCAAGGTAACCAAGAATTAACAAGTAAAACTAAAAGAAAGGGAAGGAATGGGAGTGAGCTCACAATGTGAAGGTATTGAACTCCATATTAAATGCAGAAGGTTGTAAATTGCCTTGTCTGAAGATGAGATGTTGTTCCTCCAGTTTGCGCTGTGATCGGCTGGAGCACCGCAACATGCCAAGGACAGACATGTGGACACGTGAGCAGGTAGCTGTATTAAAATGATCGGCTATGGGAAGGTCAGGGTCGTGATTGTGCATGGACTGGAGATGTTCCGCAAAGCGGTCACCCAGTCGGCATTTGGTTTCTTCAATGTAGAGTGGGTGCAGTGAATACAGTACACAAGGTTGGAGGAGGTACAGGTGAAATGCTGCTTCACCTGGAAAGATTGTTTAGGCCCTTGGATGGTGAGCAGGGAGGAGGAGAAGGGGCAGGTGTTGCACCTTTTGCGTTTACATGGGAAGGGGGAGGGGTTGGTGGTCGAGGAATGGACTCAGGTGTCCTGGAGGGAGTGATCCTTGTGAAACACAGACAGGGAAGTGAAAGGAAGATGTGTTTGGTGGTGGCGTTATGCTGGAGTTGTCTGAAATGGCGGAGAATTATCTTTTTGAACGCAGAGGCTAGTGGGATGAAAAGTGAGGACAAATTGTCACTATTGTTCATGTTTCAACTGGTGAAGCAAGCAAGTCAAAGTCATTGATCATTATGAGCCAGAAAGAATCCTTCACATGGTTCCTATGGTTGCTGAAGCATTGAGAATTAGTGTAGAATTCTGCTCCTGTAGTCTGTGCCGAGGTCCTTCTTTAATTAAAAATCTTTTCATTTATGGATGTTGGCCATTTTCACGCTGAAATATGTGAATAATGAGGAAACAGAAACAATAGATACTAATGTCATGGCTGGGTTAAAGTATGTGGCAAAGATTGCTACACGCTCCAATAATTGAGTTCTTGATATGTTCCAACACCATCACCCTTCAAACCAGCTTTGAGCGGAAGAGTTCTATTAAAGTTCTACACCTATCTATCTTTTTTTATTGAAACAAACATCGACCTCAAGCTTATCCATATGGGAAGTGACATCAGATGTTATCAATTTAATTTAAAGCAGTAACTTCAATAAGTTCCTTGATATTAAGTACCTTTTGAAATGCAGTTGCTTGTAATTGCTGTAAAGTGCTTTGGGATCCCTTAAACGGGTGAAAGGTGGTGAAATAAACTCCAGTTTCCCTTTTTAATAAGGGATCCTACCATGTGAAAGTTGTTCTGTCATAAATATAACTACAAAATTGTTACCAAAGCAGTACAGTACTTAGATGAGAACTCAATTTCTATTTTTAAAACAGTGATGCGCATATATGTGATGTGCAATTAGTTTAATGATTTTTTTATCAATAGATGAGTTTTTATGCAGGTCCACTTTAATGATGCCCAAAGAATTTATTTTCTGTTCTGCCCATCTTTCTAATATCCAAAAGGTTGGGGTAAATTCTGTATTCAGTGTTTTGCATATCAAGCAGGCTGTTAAGGACTATCTCAGTCCACTTCTTGAAGCCAATAAATATTTTTGTGATCTCACCATTTTAAACAAATACAAAATCAACTGTACAAAGAATAGGATATTCATGATAATTCTTTGCTGCAAGTTAATTTCTAAGAGCGGTCTTGAATTGAGTCTCCTGTTTTGCTCAAAGCTTTGATAACTCTTAGAATGATTTGTTTTTTTTTTGCTTTTCCTTCTCCTTTGCAGTACATTTTTCTTTCCCTCCCTTTCCCACTATCATCCTTTCTCTTCATTCCACGTTATGTGTTTTTTCTTCAGCACCTACTTTTCTCTCACTTTTCATGTTTTCCAATCTTTCTTAGTTTCTGGTCCTTTATTTTTCACAGTCCTACTACCTCAATAGTGGTTGGAATTACTGTAAATAAGCGTGCATGTTCTAATACACAGAAATATTTTTCCTTCCTATAACTGGGATCGAGTCCATTTTATTTTACAGATTAAAGATTAAATGTATCATACTTGTGTTAGGGAAAGCATAGCCAGTATGTTCTGCACCAAAGAAAGCTGACTATTATTTTCTCTGTGCAGCAATTAAGTGAAATACAACATATGAATGATTCTCAACTTCTAGAGATAAGGATCAGAGAATTCAGAGTAGAGGTCGATCAGCTGTGGAGCAAACTGATGAACCTAGAAATGCAACTGGTTGACCAACTGGAGGTGAGAAACTAAACTTAGAAATAATAAAATTTTACAGCTTAGAATGAAGCCATTCATTCAATCTATTGTGTTTGTGTTGGCCAAAAATAGAGGTATCCAGCTTTGTCCCACATTCAGTCTTTTATTACATAGCTTTGTAGATCATGGCATATCAAATGTGCCTTTAAGTACTTTTTAAATGTGATAAAGGTTTCTGTCTTTATCATCCTTTCAGGCAGTAAGTTCCAAACTTCCATCATCCTCTGGATGAAAAAATGTTCTTGTTAACTCCCCTCTAATTCTTCTACAAGCTACTTGAAATCTATGCCCCCAAATTGTTATTGGAACAAACCACTGTGAAAATTTGGAAGAATGTGCATGATGGACAACAGAGGAATTCAAAGTTGAAAATACAGAAAACACTCAGACAGCACCTGAGGAGAGAGAAACTAAGTTAATAAAGTTTCAGAGATAGTAGGAACTGCAGATGCTGGAGAATCCGAGACAACAAGGTGCAGGGCTGGATGAACACAGCAGGCCAAGCAGCATCATAGGAGCAGAGAGGCTGACGTTTCGGGCCTAGACCCTTCATCAGAAAAGGGGGAGGGGAAGGGGGTT